TATATTGTGTGTTTAGGCAGCAATCCGTCATTTATGTATGTTTCATTAAAGACGACAGACAAGGTACTACGATTAAGCTTTTTATTTAATTTTTCTTGTATTCGAACGAGTGCTTTCTTTAGTGAAATACGTGTATACGTGTGTGCGAGAAAACATTATTTGGCGAGCAAAATAGACGAACGAACTGCGCGTTGACACCGCAACTGGCGAAAGATGTTTGGCTACACAATCCAACATTGAATACAGCGACCAATTGCGTACGCATATATGCCCAGTCCCACACTGTTCATATATGTTTATGTTTGTGTGATCTCCAGCAAGTGAGCGTGTGCGTATGTATGTCTGCGTACGTCAATGAATGAACGTGCATGTATGTATGTTTGCGTACGTATGAGTGGTGGTTCCGATGACAATTTTTCCTCCCACTTCCATAAAAACACCGACATAAGCATTTATATATACAGTGTAACCCGGATATAAGAGACCCGGATATAAGAGAAACCCGGATATAAGAGAGCCCATACTTACCTAAACAAAATAGACCAAACCTAGATATAAGAGAAACCCGGATATAACAGACTTCTTCTTCGGTCCCGACAACTCTCTTATATCCGGGTTACACTGTAAATCCAAAATTTAAAAGTGAATCAGTTTGTCTGACGATCGCAAATAGCGTGAAACCCAGGGTCACAAACTCACACCAATCCAACTAAATATATATATATATATATGTGTGTGTGTGTGTGTGTGTGTGTGTGTGTGTTTAAGCAACAATCCGTTTTTATACAGTGTAACCCGGATATAAGAGACCCGGATATAAGAGAGATTTTCTCTGGTCCCAAATTAAAGCCTGTGTTAATGTATATAAAATCGACCAAACCCGGATATAAGAGAAACCCGGATATAAGAGACTTCTTCTCCGGTCCCGACAACTCTCTTATATCCGGGTTACACTGTATATACATAAATACATACACATACAGTGTAACACGGATATAAGAGACCCGGATATAAGAGAAACCCGGATATAAGAGAGATTTTCTCTGGTCCCAAGTTAGAGCCTGTGTTAATGTATATAAAATATACCAAACCCGGATATAAGAGACTTCTTCTCCGGTCCCGACAACTCTCTTATATCCGGGTTATACTGTACATGTTTCATTGAATGTGATGGAGAAGGATAATTTTAGTTTACTTTAGATTAGTCTAATTTTTTATTCAGTTATTGTAATGTTCTTTACAGTATTTATTTTATGAGGTCTCTAAGTGTTTAGAAACTGTCCGTAGTGAATATTATCCTAAGCGCTTTCGGCTTATTCATTCCGGTTCCTTGTTAGTACATTTATTGTATTTATATTCTAAGCGGTATTGTATAGAAATAGTATTAATTCTATGTTGGAGTGCCTTCAAAATACTCCTCAAATATTAATACACTTTACATAATGATCTTGAGTGTAGTTAAATTAAAAGTTAAATTGATTTATAATAACTGTCTTCATTGTCTTTATAGTTTGATGTTGTTAAAATGACAATATTTTTCTCATGAAAAAAAAGAGTTGGAAAAAAGTGGTTCCTTATCGAACACAGATCATTTATATATATATATATATATATATATATATATATATATATATATATATATGTGAATGTAACCGAGATATTGATACAAATTATTAACACCTTAGGTCCCTTTTTCTTTAAACAATTGCTCTAGCCGTTACCATAGAAATTTTGATTTTAATAATGAATATGCTTATAAAACACGTAAATTTCTGAAATAAGTTATTCCAAAAAAATTTCGCTTGAAGATGGAACAGAGATTAGTACTTTAATTGAATTTAATTCAAATAATTATATTAAAGTTTTCGGCTCTTGTTTTGAAACATGAGAACACTTATGTAGCGTGTTCTAATCATATTTTTAAATAAATAATTATATTTATGCACTACTTTTGTATCGAGCACTATTTTTTAAAAATAATAACAAAAATACTAAAGAACTTTCGATTATTTACCTGACGAGTTCTTTCCTATTTTCTATATATTTTTCACACACACACATATATATATATATATATATATATGATCAGAATAGTTTTAAGGTAAGTAATATTTAATGGGTTAAATTGTTCAATATCAGGGATAGAGCGTATGTAAATTTTACATTGAAGTCAACACCCAGTGGTGACAGCTTGTTTCATATTTAAACGCAATTGTCTGAGGATTGTGTTTAAGCTTGAAATACTAAAGATCGCAATTAAGCATGCGGTCTGGTATTGAACTCACAACTCTTTGGGTCTAGTTACTGGATCTAACCACCATCTTTATCCACTGTGCCATGTATCCTAGTGCATGAATAATGGGGACTTATAAACCTAATGTATCATCAACATTTTTTACCGGTGCTCATATTGCATTTTTTCTGTTATTATTAATTCACTTTTTACCAGAGCTTATATTGCAGTTTTTTTGTTATTCTTTAATGTCACGAACAGAGTAGGAGTTCAAGACATCCGAATACCGCAAGCCAACATTCACTGGACAGTACTTCAACTCCCACCATTCATACAGTGTAAAGAAAGGGATTACAGCATAGAGCAAAAGTCATAAGTGGTGACCCAGAAAAGTAAAAACAAGAAATGGTCAATATAAGCAGTAACCTACAACATAACAACTACCCTGGGTACCTGTCTATATTTCTGAGATGAGGTATTATGTACACCATTATTATTATTAGGACTATTGTCCTCATCTTTGTTGCCAAATTTATCACAACCACCTGAAGAAGGCTCCGGCCTTCTTCAGGTTTTTGGAATAAATAAACGTTGTGATAAATATGGCAACAAAGATGAAGACAATAGTCCGAATAATGTAAATAGTGTACCCTGCGTACATGGTAGAAGCTCCAACAAACTGGGGTAGAAGGTTACAAGAGGATAACAGCACTCAGAAAACAGCTTCAGCCTGTCTACTCTATGTAAAGTGATTATCGGAGAAAATACAAAGGATCTGTGGTCCATATAACATCAGGACAACCTTCAAAAGTGGTTTAACACTTCGGAGACGTCTCTTGTAAGTAAGACCTCCCACAGAGGAGAACATGACTAAGAACTGTGTATACGCCATCTCGTGCAGCTGTCGTAAGAAACAAGCCACTCCCTTAAGGAAAGACTGCAAGAACATCGTAAAACGGGAATAGAAAAATCAGGCCTAGCTAACCACATATGGAGGGAAAAGAGAGATCACCGCTCCCTTGTGGGATGAGGTTGAAATAATAGACGGAGAGCATTACTTGAAAATACGAAAACTTAAGGATCAGCACATATGCTAGGCAAAGAGATGAATACAATATGGGAACCAGTAATAAGGAGTGCTAGAGAAAAGAAATGAATAACAACAAAAATTGTAATATAAGCTCTGGTAAAAAACCAAAATAATAATCCTGAAACATTAGGTTTATAAGTCCCAAAACTTCGTACACAGATGTCCTCAAGGGCACATTGCCCAGTGGATAAAGACGTTCGTTAGATTCAGTGACAAGACCCAGAGAGTTGTGAGTTCAGTACCAGGCCACAAAAAAATTGGAGTGTTGAACTGAGACATCCGGAAGAGGCGTGGTACGTGGAGCTAGAACGATCTACCCCGGTTCGAAATTCCAATCTCCTACAGAAGGCCGGAGCGTACAAGGGCCGAAACGTTGCGGATATGGCAATGAAGATGCAGATAACGGCCCAAATAATATCTTTTAATACATACATACATATATATATATATATATATATATATATATATATATATATATATATATATATATATATATTTGGGGGCATGGAGTATGCCAGATAATTAACAACAAATTATAATTATAAAAATAAATTTAATAGAAGATATTGTACATTTTAAATAAAAATTGTAAAACTTTCGAAAACAAAATGCTCATTCAATGAAACCTCCTACGTGCTCGCGGTTGGCCTAGATACGGCCTCCAGAGAGCCACTTCAGAAACGACAGTCTACTCAAATCAGGTGATCTCATTCATCACGTCAACGATGGCGACCTTCAACTAATCTGTGGAGCCAGTTTCAGCAACGACTCAAACGTCGATTAATTATTAATTAATTTTTTTTGTATTGTTTTGTTTTTGTTTTTTTGGGGTTTTTTGCGGCTTATCAACCCTTTTGCATATTATTTAAAGCCAGAAAATATTAGATTGTAATAATTTTTGAGAAATCATAATGATTTACGGATACAAATCCTACTAATTAACCCATAGCTGTGGGTGATGAGGCGGATTCATACCTTTTCCAAGAGTATTTACGCATAAATGAATAATATGCTGTGGATTTGAATCAACCCACAACAAAGAAAAATTTGTGAAAGTTTTTTAAATATAAGAATATAAAGTATTTTTATTTTCGTGTTTTGACAACTGAATTTTTCTCAGTACGAAAGTTCATGTATTAAATATACTTGTTTGCAGTTTTTTTAAGATGAAAAGAAATGTTATTTCTTAGCGCATATGTATGAGAAAAAAGAGGCCAGGGAGAAAATGATAGGAAAGTGTAAGTGTCACGTAGCTGGGTGAGGAAGAGTGTAAACGTCACGTAGCTTGGTGAGGAAAACAGGTGAATGGGAAAGGGAGTCTCTTTAAAGCTTTGTCGTGAACAGTCGGCGTCTGCTGCCGTTACTTACTGTCTTGTCTGGCCTGGTAATTTTGCTTATATACTACTAAAAGGGATCACGAATAATGGTTTTGTCGGCAGGAACACGACCCGTTGGTTGAAAAATGTTAAATATTTATTTTCATTTATTAAGCGGGAGGATGCGCGACTCTTCCGATTCAGAAACCATTTTTTGTCATTTGATGGTTGACTCTTGGTGTTTAATCCCGCTCTCGATTCACAAATATAACGAACCCAACTGGGACTGGGACTGAAACTCGGATCGCCGATTAACAATTCCGAGCCGTTATCCATTACACCATCTGCATATCAAAGTTTATAACCCCTGGTATTTCGAAGCAGTCACCCATCTAGGTACTGACCAGGTTCGACGGTGCTTAACTTCGGTGATCGTACGACATCAGGTGTTTCAACGTGGTATAGCAGTAAGCATCACAGACGCTGGATTCAAAAGAGAACGAGGTGACCCCATGTGAGCGATAACATATAGAGGCAACAAAGTTCTACTGGAACACATACAGCCACCCCTCGACCAAAAGACTTGACTACCGCGTCCAGCACCTCGAAGTAAGCAGTGGCACTGAGATCCTGCATTAAGAAAATGGCAGTATGACGTGTCCCGCCTATATCATAATTTTCGTTATTCAAGCACAGAAGAGCCAGTAAGTCCTACCTGTTGACTATTAAGAGCTCCCTATCTCCAAATTGTGCTTGGTAACTAGTATCATGTGTATGTATGCTTTTTCATTTCCTGTGTCATATTAAATGAAAATATTAAAATTTGGCGCATGCCGCATAACATTATCTTAGGTTTCCTTCAATTTATAGCCCGCTAAAATAGCTTGCGCGCCAGATATATATTCCTTCCGGTATTCCCAAGCCTTCAACCATCTAGGTACTAACCAGACTAGACATTGCTTAACTTTGGTGAGCTGATGATAACCTGTGTTTCAACATGATATGGTCGTAATTTCTCTCTTTCTATCTCTGTCTCTGTTGTTTCTTTTTTTCTTCTTCTCTATATATATATATATATATATATAGAGAGAGAGAGAGAGAGAGATAGATAGATATTGGACAGAAACCCTATTTTTACCAAGCTTTATTAAAGACGACCTACAAGGCACTGTGTTTTCTTTTCTGGGCATAAAATATGTAAAAATTGTACAAATGCCCTGCATATCCGTGCGCTTTCGACTATTCTTTTAGCCATTATCAAGGATGATCTTGATTTTTGATTTTAACTGAATGTATGGACCTTTTATGTGTGTATCTACAGTTATAGAAACATTTCTTTTTATTTTCTAAAAACGGTCAGAACACCAACTATGAATACGGCCACAATGTGCTGACCGTGTTCACGGCCACAATGTGCTTGAGCCAGTAGTCATTCGCACAGCGTTTAACTGTCATCTGTGCATTATTTCTGGTTGTACTCAAAGCTTGCAACGTTGACTGAGTAGGTTGGCGTTTGTACTCCAATAGTGCAACGCTATTCTTCTCGATAACCACGTTGAGCGCATTCGCACTTGCTTCGAACCAGTCCAGTGTCTTGTTCCTATTCTTCTCGACAGTGTTCAGTGCAGTGCTGCTGTTGATGTCCCTGCAAATATCACATGCTGGACAGTTCCTCTTGGTGGCTTTGTGAGGAGGGTGGCCTTCAGAGACTTGATGAATATCGCCGATTTGGTTGAGTTTTGAATCGTGGTGACATTGATACGCAGTTTACCTGAAGGCTTGACGTCATGCATCCCCGTAGTCTGATTCTGATGAAAAAGGCTGTGATCGTGCCACAGTCGGTGCTCTTAAAGGACCGCGCCATGCGCACGTTTCTCAGGTAGCTGCGTTTCGTGAGGATCAAATCTAGAAGATAGCAGTGTTTAGCAGACCGGAGTGTCACCATGAAACTTTGGGCTTAAAATTCGGAAATGGAATAAGAAAAGAAGACATCCTAACAACCTTAACCAGAAACCATAGATGATTTGACCAAACAGAATTCGAAAAAGGTTTCACACAAGGTATCATAGCAGCCATCCTCACATCTATATCTATAAACAGAAGATGCCTGTCAGTGTGTCTGTCTGTCTGTGTGTCTCTCTCTCTCTGTGCGTTTATATGGTATTTAAGCACGTCCACATTTCTCGACCGATTTCGATGTAATTGTACACATATGTTGTAAATTTACAACGGTAGGTCAAGACGAACTTTTCAATCACCGACTTTTCAATCTCCAATCTGCCAAACCAGGGGTGGGGCAGAAAAATCGATAAAACTGAAGGCGGGTACATTTTGTAAAAACCAAGGCAAACTTACCTGTGAAAAAAAAAGTTATTGGATAAGCTGATGTTCTTTGCGCTTAATACAAAACATCAGCTCATGTTACGAGGTTTATGTAGAGTGCTTGATAGTTTTCCTGTCACATTGGCTTCACACAAAATGCAAAAAAATGTGGAAAAAAACGAGTTTTTCGTACTGTATAAAATAAGACCTTGAATAGCTTCCTCGATTTTCTCCGATTTTTTTCAAACATGTTGCAAACATTTGCCATCATGCAAGAAATAAGAAGTCCACGTATAACGAAAAACCACGAAAAACTGTTCAGAAAGCCTGTTTTTCGGCCATAACTCTCTGTTTTTTTATCCGATGCTTTCCAAATTTGCCATGTAAATTACATATGACACACAAATTGCCTTTGTTCAGTTAAGTGAACGAAATCTAGGTCCAAAATCGGCTTTTGACATTTAACCAATAGTTTCTTCATATGATAATCTTTGCATCAAAGGTTCTTCAAATGCCAATTTAGGATGAAATCATCCTAAATTGGTATTCTTACAACCTTTGATTTAAAGATTGTTTGAGAGATATTACTGAAGCGTTAAAAGGGAAAAAATTACGAAGAACCTCTTATTAACCCCAGCTTTACAGTAAACGTGCGAAGAAGGCGCGGGCGTTCTTGCGTTTGCACTTGAATCAAGCTCTGACGCTTCATCCCTGTTTTTGTTTAATTATTAGATTTATGAACAATGCCATACTGTTTGAAAGTTATTACGGCTAAAGGAAATTTACTGAATGTCTAAAACATTGAAACAATTTAACCCGAGCTATGATCACACAAAAAGGTTTTATCGCTGGAATTCCTTTATTAAGAACAATCAAACACTTGCAAAGGACATACCGTAAAAAAGATGAGTGCTGGCGTAGCTTAGTATACCAACGGACGATGCATGCAAGCCAGGACGCAGGCAGACATTTCTAGAGAGGAGGGTGCGTGTATACAGGGGGTGCGGTTATACAATTGCAGCCATGTAACACCCGGGCAACGCCAGGTACTTCGGTTAGTATATATATATATATATATATGTGTGTGTGTGAAATGTTTAACTAATGTAATTCCCTTCTTTTCATATTCCTTCAGAAACAACATTTCTCAGTTTTAATATTTTCTTTTCAATTATTCCTTAAAATAACAGAAGTTGAAACTTGAAGACTGAATAGCCAGCCAAAATTTTCAATAGTTATTTGTGATGCAGGTTATCAGGATTTTTTTAATAAAATAAAAAATATCAATTAAGTTAAGCAACTTGGCATTGCCCGGGTTTATAACAGAGGCATTTTTTAGTCTTAAGACAAGCAATCCATATATAGTCAATATAATCTGAATGGTTATGCCCCTTTAGGACGCAGGTAACTCTCCACAGCTTCTTTTTACTTTATTATCTGTAAATTCTTATACCTTCTTGGGAACGAATGTATAGTGGTTTCCTGTTGCTTTCTCTACGCTTTGGAATTCATAATTTTCCTTCTCTCATATTGTTTACCACACAAAACTATGTATACTCTGCTATTTAACCCATAGCAACATGTGATTGGTACTTGACCCACTGATTCCAGTTTCGGCGTCAATAATCACTACTCTCCCCACACATCCATGCCGAATCTTATTTGACCAAAAAGTTTTTTCTTGTGGGGCTTAAACATACGCGAGTCGCACCGAAAGTAATGCCTCCTATTTTATTATCTTAAGCGGTCAGAAGCGGATGTTTATGATAAAGTGGTAGAGTTTGAAGTTTGCTGCCAATGACTTACGTATATTTTATTTTTTTTTTGTTACCGATAACAGCTGAGCGGTAATCTGATAAAATGACGTCTGATATGAAAGTACGTATGAAGAAAGTAAGTTCTCCTATTTTATTGTCTTGGCTGCAAAGGTCAGAGGTTAATGTTCAAGACGTGGTAGTTAATTTTCCTTTAAAAATATACTGTTTAATAAATAAACGTAGTGTCTACACAAATTTGTTTCCACTAAAAATAACATTTAAGTAATAATATCTGTTGGAATAATAAATAAAAAACAAAATCCATCACTTCTTTATAAATTGCTTTGTTTACATTAGGATAAGAAACTGAACAGATATTGGATGTTTCGGGAGTCTGAGAAACATCTGCGTTTATTCAAACTTGCTTGATTATCGGCGCACTTCATTGTCTCGACGTCTAACGCACGTCGGCTATAATGAAGATTTCTCCTGCACATGTTCGAATCCTGTCGCAAGCGCATTTTTTCTTTAAAAAGATTTCTCGAATATTCAGGCCGGTAGATGAAAAGAAATAAATAAATAGACTGTTTAATAAATAGATAAAGCGTCTAATCAAATATGGATATCCACTAAAATTAACAGTTAAGTAGTAAAAACATTTTATAAATTTCAGCCCACACTAACGTTAACCGTTCGGTCAATGAATACCGAATGTTTCTGTAAAAAAATGGTTATTCTCACCATTACATTTTGCGCGCTCTTTTCCTACTTCTCCTTAATGATTTACTTAGTATAGATTGGATAAGCACATTGATATAAAAATAGGAAGATTACGCCGAAGAGACGGCCTGCCTGCCTTTAAAATTAGTATAGTGCTTTTTTATCAGTTGGAACACCGACCACTGGCAACAGTCGGTTCATCTATAGATATTTATTAAGTTGAATTTTGGTACAAGGTCAGGGTAGCGAATTGCTTGTGAGGATCGAGCCCACCAGACTCTCTCTCTCTCTCTCTTTCTCCCTCCCCCCTCTCATTTCTTCTCTCTCCTCCTTTCCCTCTTTCCCCATATTTGCCTCTTTCTTCATCTTTTACTTAATTCTCTCATTTTTTCTTTTCCCCTCGTCGACCTTCTCTCTCTCTCTCTCTCTCTCTCTTTCCTTTCCTCCCCATTCTTTCTCATCTCTGCTTTCTCTCTCTCTTCTCCTCTATCGCCTGCTTTCTCATTACACTTCTGTTTCTCTCGCTTTCTCTGTCTTCGAGTCCGTCTCTCTCTTTCTCTCTCTCTTCCTAGCCTCTTAATCGTCTTCTCTAACTCTCTCTCTCTCTCTCTTTTTGTTTCCTTCTTCCCTCTTCTCTGCCTCCCCCTCTTCTTTTATTCCTCTTTGGCCTCCCCTCTCTTTCTTTCTCTCTCTTCTTCGTCTTCTTCTTCGCTAGCTTTCTCTTTCTTTCCTGTCTCCCTTTTTCCTCTCTTTTTCTTCACTCTTGACTAACACTTTTAAGTTACCCACCACAAATAGTCAACGGGCATCGAAATTCCCTGGTAATTCATTAACCGGATATATATATATATATATATATATATATATATATATATATATATATGTGTGTGTGTGTGTGTGTGTGTGTGTGTGTGTGTGTGTCTGTGTCTGTGTGTGTGTGCGCGCGTGTGTGTGTGTGTTTTAAAATATCTACTTATCGATAAAATCTATTTATTTATCATGTTTTTTTTTTGTTTATTTGTTTTTGTTTTTTGGTTTGTTTTTTTTTTTTTTTTTGTCGTTTTGTTTTTTACATTTAACCAGCCATTCTGACTTTCGTAGCCCGGATGTATGTGACGACAGAATTATATGGTGAGGATGCTCTTCCCTCGCTAAGGAATGAAAGTTCTCGAAATTCAACACGCGATGTAATCCCGGGTTTTCCAATCAAGGAAATTCCAATGTTGAATTTGATGAAAGCAAAAATAAACTGAATAGAAAGTTGCGAAATTCGGTCTGCAATTATGACAACAAAAGCAACAAAAGATAAAAGTAACATGAATTTCGTTGATAACAGTGGAATTCACGCGTCGGCAGGATGTTTGTTCTCTTATTTAATCATTCATTTATTTTATAAATGGCCACCGCTTCTCGGAAGGCGCTTGATAAACACAACGACATAAGAAGATCGGAAGGGGAGATAAGCAATGTTTGTACAAAGAAAGTTAGTTGAATATTGAATAACTAGAGCGAGACACTGATACGCCTAACTATGACTGGAATGTCTGTTTTGTAGATAGAAATATACACCGGATTACTGGCGGCGGCTTATCGAGATATAACTAATGTACTCCCGCACACGAGTCAGCAAAAAAAAAAAAAAGTTTTTTAAAAAGTTAAAAAATAAAGAAATAAACAAAAATAAAATGGATGGAAACGCCGAAAAAAATTTAAGAATAAATAAAAACAAAAGTCTCTATGAAAGAAAATATCGGCTGATTTTGCTTCTGATTTGTAGATTTCAGAATTCCCAACCTCTGTAGCATTTCAAACGTCTTTATGACGCAAATCTTATCGCTTCATTCGATATCCTCAGATGTTGTCACTTCCGCCCTCGATCAGTCCCTACTGATGCGACCTGGGGCCTCAAGTATTTCTTTTCGGCGGAAAGTTGAAAAAAAAAAAAAAAGAAAAGAAAAAACAGGCCGATTTTTGTTCTGTGCTTGAAGCTTCAAAAGTTATCGAAAATATCTGGGAAGTATTTTAACAGAGGACGAAAAGTTTTGACACTGAAATCCGAAGTCGCACTGGGATAGCCAAAGATGTCTTCCAAAAGCTAAGCTGAGTATTAAGAAACACCAAAACCTTCGCTAGAAACAAAGAATGGAGTACAAAACTGTTATGTAATATCAGTCCTCCTATGTGGCAGTGAGTGCTGGACAATTTCGTCAAAGATGAAGAACAGATATCAAGCAACAGAAATGTCGTTCTACAGAAGGATGCTGAGAATACTATGGACGAAATATGTGAGCAACGCAACGACGAAGTTTTAGAAAAAATGGCGACAAAATGGAAAATTATATTTAACATCAGGAAGAGACAGTTGAAATTTTTAGGTCACATAACGAGGAAAGTGGGCTTAGTAAATCTGATACTCACAGTACACATTGAAGGTAAGAGGGACAGAGGAAAACAACACATATCATACTTAGTAAGCTTGACTAAATGGATGGCGGAACAAGGTTTAAAAGAAATAAAAAGGCATTTATTTAAGAGCTACAAAGGATAGGAAATTGTAGAGAGCCATGATCGCCAACATCCTGAAGTGACACAACACATAGAAGAAGGACACCATCTTGTAACAAAAATACAATCTATATAATCAAAAGCGATCTCCTTTTTAATGAAATTAAAAATCTAACGCTCCTGGTGTTATCTTTTGACACAAATAAAACCTTATGAGAACATTGAGTTAACAATGGAACTCGCTAGAATTCTCATCTTATCTTCCTCAGAAACATATCAATAACAGCGATTGCTTTATAAATATAATCGTAAAATACAGCTCTCTAAAGCCTGGTAAGTTAACTATTGTTGTTGAATCGTTCACATCCTAAAGGGACACGACACAGAAAAAAAAATGAAATAAATAAGACAAGGAGGCAAGGAGAATCGGATTTCTTATTAGTCTGCTTTCGCCTCTACAACCAGACCAAGTGTTGAAAAACTACAAAGCTTATTTAACTGTACATATACATTGAAATAAATGACAGGCCGTTCGTTTCCTGTTAGTGTTGCTATCTAATCCCTGGTGAAGATTCCTGCCCAGGTAAATATGTTACTTCAAAACTCACGCAGCCCACCTGTTGTTTATACTGCAACTATACGAAATGGATCTTTCAGGTGTCGTAAATAATAATCTGACGTGATTGAACAGTTTGAACAAAGTCAGTTTGAACAAGACTATGTATTTAGAGATTCTTGATAAAATTCAAAGAAGAATCTGCAGTGTTATTCGTCCTAACCTGGCATCTCGGCTTCAGTTAATTTTCGACCGCCGTGACGTCACTTCCCGGTGCTTTTTTTATAAATATTTTCATCGTAATTGTTCTGATGAGCTTTCCTCTTTGTTATGTAAACTTTGCGAATTTATGCGCAGTACTAGATTGGCAGCTAGGACTCATCCTTTTATAACTGAAATTGCTAGATGTAACCGTAAGTTCTATGTTAACAGTGTCCTCTTTCGCATTTTTCGCTTTTCCGCATTCTTGATTTTCAGTCAAGTTTGATCTTTAAATATTTAAATACAATGCCAATCATTATCTTCTGTCTTCTTAATTCCTGTTCTTTTATTTTTCTCTCTCTTTTAATAATATTTTCTTTTTCTTATATTCTTTCACACTATGTAATTTCTTGTGTCGTTGTGGCTCGATTGCCTTGCTTGGGGTGAAATTATTATAAAAGGCCAATAACTCCGTGCTAGCAAAGCCATCGATGGATATCGGAACAGTTTCGCCTAACAATTTTCATTGAAACAGTGGCATGGTTTTGAGGCGTTTCCTAATGGTTTCGCACGCTGGTATCATCGCCCATAACGCATATTATCACTTTGAAAAAAACTACCATGCTGAGATTCGAATAGCTCTACAAAATATCCAATTCCACTTCACAGCATTCCAGATGAATTCATTTGATAATGAACCTGTGGCTGAGTGGTCAGAACGTTAGCCTTCCGATCATGATAAATAAACACACACACACATATATATATATATATATATATATATATATATATATATATATATATATATATATATAGTGCATATTTAGGCACCATATTTTCATTCAAACAGGTTTGGTTAAATAATTGAAAATATTATGCCGATTAGTTTTCGTTTGTAATCCTTTGGAGTTCACGGATTATTTTCTTGGTAGCCTGTGGAAATTAATTCGTGAACTCGAAAGAACTACAACGAAAACTAATCGACATGATATGTCTAAATCACTTAACCAAACCGGTTTATATATATATATATATATATATATATATATATATATATATATAAAAAATTTAGTTTTAAGGATGGTATATTTATGAGAAAAAATGCTCAGTATCATAGGTAAATATTAAGCAAGTGGACACTAAAATCAACAGCAATCACGCAAATCTGTTTAATGCTTCAACGCAATCTTCAGGCCATGTGTGTTGTGATTTTTCGTACTGGGGTGGTCACGTTATTCCCATTACGAAATAATTAATTTTTACCAAATTGGGAGCTACCTATATCTCGTGAAATAAACGAATTCCATATATATATATATATATATATATATATATATATATATATATCATGAAATGAACAAAGTCCGACAATTATTTTAAGACATTTTTATGTTTATACATTCTTTTTATAGATACAAATATTTAAGTAAATGCCTGTTTATAATAAACACTATTAAACAACATTTACCAGCCTGAATGTCTGAGAAATTTTCATAGAAAATATTCGTCCTTGCTAACCGAACGCTCTTCTATGGCCAAATCAGTTAAAGGCACGCCAGGCTATATGACGGTTCCGTATAGGATACAGGTTCGATTCCTGTCGGAGGACGAATATTTTCAATGAAAATTTCTCGGACATGTTGTTTAATAGTGTTTATTATAAACAGAGCATTTACTTAAATATTTGTATCTATAAAAAGAATGTATTAACATAAAAATGTCTTAAAATAATTGTCGGACTTTGTCCATCTCATAATGTGAGACGTCATTTGTTTACATTTGATACGCCATGAGCAGATATGAATGTACGTGAGAGATTCATAGAAGATTGAAGTTCAAATACAGGAAATTCTACCTTGCTAAACGAACGCTCCTCTGTAGCCAAATCGGTTAAAGGCACGTCAAACTAAATTAACGGTTTCGTTTTGGATACAGGTTCGATTACTGTCGGAAAACGTATATTTTCTATGAAAATTACTCGGACATTCAGGCCGGTAAATGTTGTTTAATACTGTTTATTATAAACAGAGCATTTACCTAAATATTTTTATCTATGTCTTAATATAATTATATATGTATTAATATATATATATATATGTGTGTGTGTGTGTGTGTGCTAGCAAGTTTGGTTAAAAATCAATGAAGTTTATTTCTTAAAGATTTTTCTAAATTACTTTTTCCTCGTTTCAGATGAAAATTTGAAAATAAATTATCCGATTGTCTGAGTACTTTAGGTTTTCAAAAAACCGCAATATATATATATATATATATATATATATATATATATATATATATATATACCCTTTACCAAAATGTAGCTAATAACCGATACAATGATACAGACATAAGGGAAAACCCAGACAACCCTTGTCCAATTGAAGTAGATTTATCTGTAACCATGGAAACGTGATTTTAGCCGTGTCTTTAAAACCCAGTAATTTTTAAAGTTATTCCAAAATTCGCTTGAGGATGAAATGGAATTAATGTCTTTAATTTAATTGCAAAATAA